GTGTAATTTGGCTAAGTATAATCTTCTAGGCTGAATACTTGCCTTCAGATTTTAAGACGTTTTCCCCATAGTCTTCTGATATTGATGATGAGAAATCTCTTGGCTCTTTAGTTATTTTTCCTTGGTTATGAGCCATTCTTTCAGCATCTTCTATCTTGAAAAATTTAGACTCCTCTGTTTATCTTTAAAGTTCTGAAGGTATATTTTTTTTATTTTGAATAAAATGTTTTTCTTTGATTAGTGTCATAAATCTAGGTCTTGGCAATGAATAAGTATAAGCTCCAAGTGGGTAGTACTTATATCTACTCATCACCACTGTAAACCCAGCATATTGTTCTTTTATGGCACACGTTAGGTATTCCATATATATTTGTTGACTAAGTAAATGATTGCCTTTTCCAAGTTCAAAAGACATTTAAGAGCACACAAGAATCTATGGTTTTCACTCTACTGCACTTCAAACCACTTTAGGCTATATCATACTAGAATAAATATAATTCCACAGAATATCTGTTATGACTTTCTTTTCATATAAAATTTTAAGTGCTAGTTTCTTTGCACAGATTTTTTTTCTTGGAAATTTCATTTCTGGAAATACATACGACAGCTCCACACTAATGAAGATTTTCTGCCTCAAAGATTTGTCTGAAATCACTCCAGTGAGAAATGGTGGAGCTGAAACTGGAATTTAGATCTGTTGGTAAAGGCCAGGATTCTCACTTGAAACCCTGCCCATATGTGAATTACTCTCTGGAAGCTCATTCTTCCTTTTCTCTCATGGCAGTCATTTATCATATTTTGGTAATCATTTTCTCAGTATCTCTAGAGTCATTTTTCAGTTCTTTTTTTACTCTCTTTTCTCCCCTCCTTTGGGCCTCCACTTTCATTATTATATTCTTAAATTCAATTAATCTATTTAATATTTGAATAAAATTCAAACATTTCCTCTTATTTCTTAGCCAGAAATGTTCTTCATCGTATAGAATGAAAGAAAGATACTGATTGTTTGGATAAACTAAAAGATTCTGTACACAGGGGGTTTATCGACTATGACATTTGCATTTTATTTTACTTATTTATTTTTGAGATGGAGTTTTGCTCTTGTGCCCAGGCTGAAGTGCAATGTCATCATCTCGGTTTGCCACAAACTCCACCTCCTGGGTTCAAGGGATTCTCCTGCATCAGCCTCCCGAGTAGCTGGGATTACAGGCACATGCCACCAACCCTGGCTAAATTTGTATTTTAGTAGAGACAGGGTTCCTCCATGTAGGTCAGGCTGGTCTTGAACTCCTGATCTCAGGTGATTCAGCCTCCTCAGTCTCCCAAAGTGTTGGGATTACAGGAATGAGGCATGGCACCCAATTTGTCATTTGCATTTTAGTTTCAAAATCATTTTCCTCTCAGTCCTTTGCATATTTAACTATCATAGAATACCATTACTTAGTTATTTGGTTCTCAGGTTTGAAAGGTTATCATCAGAATTTTATTACAAAATTAAGTGAAAAATCTAGACGCCTAAAAAGTTATTCATTCATTAACACCCACACAAAATATATTACTGAAATTACCTGAAAATAATACATTTTTAAAGCAAGTGTATTTGAGTATTTTCAAATTGGCAACTGAATGCCACATTGCGTGATTATTGACTCCTGGAAATTGTACTGAAGAAAGAAAAATGTGATTTTTTCCTTGAGTTTTTTCAATATATAACTCTTAGTCAAGGTTTATTGTAGATTACTTTTTAGAATAGTTAAAATCTCTTTTAAAAATACTGATTATAACCAGATTTTTTTCAACATTACAAAGAAGTTAAATGAAGCTGAAGAGATTCTAAAGAACTTGTCAAGATGCCAAAGAGTCTCTTAGAGAATGAAACACAGGAACCATGACTACAGTTTCAGTTACAATGATAGGATAGGTTTCCATAGTTCAGCAACACACACACACACACACACACACACACACACACACACACACACACACAAAATGAATAGTGTGTCTCCTCTATATTCTTGATGGAAATTAATGAGGAAACTAAGCATTGGAACTGATTAAATACAAAAAACAATTGCTTCCAATTTAGGAAGTCCCAAAAATAGATGACTTTCAAGATGTACTTTGGAAATCATATAAGACATAAAAACGCTTACAAACAGAAATATTTATGGTTAGTCTTGGAAGGAAAAACTAACCAAAAAAAGCAGAAAAGGAAAGAGAAATAGGATCATACATGATTTGTACACTTTAGCATCTGTTATCTCCAACTAACTATTAAAAGAGAAAAAGTTCACCCAACTGCAGATACTTTACTTATTATTATTATTATTATTATTATTATTATTATTATTATTTTGAGATAGAGTATCTCTCTGCAGCCCAGGTTGGAATGCAGTGATGGTATCCCAGCTCACTGCAACCTCCACCTCTTGGGTCCCTGTTCAAGCAATACTCCTACCTCAGCCTCCAGATTAGCTAGGACATGCATCATCATGCCCAACTAATTTTTTTGTATTTTTAGTAGAGATGGGGTTTCACCATGTTGGCCCAGAATGGTCTTGAACTCCTGACCTCATGATCTGCCCACCTTGGTCTCCTTAAGTGCTGGGATTACAGGCTCATTACAACATTATTTTTTAAATTTATTTTTAGCAAAAGCATGCTTATATTTCCTTTTCATTGCTATGTTTTCCAACTTTATCTCATAGAACCCAGTGGAGAAAGAAACATGTTCTATTAACATTCTCAGGGGTTTCCTACAAGTGTTTCTGTGTCAAACTTTTTCTATTCACTGAAGAAAATAGTTTATGATGCATCTTGAAGAAAGCATGCTTACATTTGCCTTTTATTGATAGCTTTCTATCTCATTTTTTAAAAATTCTGGATTTAGAGATTACTTTTAAAAGTAATCCCTAAATCACGAGATTACTTTAAACATAATCTCTCATAACTGAGGCCTTAAGGGCTAATTAGAACAACAGCTTATAAATTTATCATTTAATGTATATTTATTTACTGGACAAAATAATCCAGATTATCTACATTACCATGATAATAGAAGTTATTTGTTAACTGTACAATACCTTTCTCACATATATATATATGTTTAAAAATTACATAGCATTCACACTTAGATTTCCCTTTTGAAAACTGCTTAGATAAAACAGTGAAGCAACCATTGACTTATTTCATGTTTCAGTTGAAATCATAGAGGTATTGAATGTGAAAATCTAAAGAAATCATATGTAGTCTACTAATAGCCTTCATTTCATAGATGAAACTGTGTTCAGAGAGGTTAATGGCCCTTACATATGAGATCATGTCTCCAGGCTGCAAACCCTGTACTCTGTTTCTACAGCACACATCTCTAACTCTGAGAGTTTGACAAGAGTTCTTGAACCAATTATAATGATCACAAATGTAAATATTTCCCCAAACAAAACATGTTTATTTAAAATAAAATATCTCCTGGGACAGATAAAATGTCCTTTACTAAGTAGCTTGCCTATTTGGTTGAAAGGGAAACTTGTATAAAATGATAAACTGTTGTTATTTTGGAAAACCACTGGATAAATCTGCTTTTACTTTTGTAATATAATGTATGTGCTCTACCTAAAAATCTTTATAAAATGTTATAATATATTCAAAGAATAAGCCATTATGACACAACATATACAAGAATAATTCATCCAGCAGTACGTTTATGTTCATGTCAAACATTTAAGAATCCAAGAAAATAGGGTAAATAAACCAAAACTTTAATGCTCAAAAAGCACTAAGTGTTAAAAAAAATTCTAACAAGTCTAATATGACTTAGCATACTTTAATCCATTCTCTATTTTCAGAGAGAAAATATACTAGCTATATCTGCTGGTATGGCAAAAAATATTCAATCTCTTTTTACATTTAAGTTTATAATAATAATTCCTTCTAGCAATGTTACAAGTAGTTATAAAGTCATGTTTCTGACGTCCTAGTGGTTGTACTTTACTTTTGAATTATATGCAGCATTATATTTATAATAATGTAATGTTAAAAGTACATTTATTTGAAACAAGTTGTATGGTATGAGTACCATGTCCCAGACCTTTGTAAGTGTGTATGCCTTAATCAACATATTTTAGCTCAAGTCACCCAATACTCCTACATATAATCCAGGAATGATACCTGAGCATTTTATTTTTCTAACAGAAAAATTTTAAAGTTTTATTGAAGGTATTACAGCCCAGTCTTCTTCCTGTTAAATTTGAGGTTTGTGATTGGTAATACTCTTTTTTTTTCCTCTTTCTCTCTCTCTGTCTGTCTCTCACACACACACACATACCCACACAAACACACAGCCAAGACTTTCATGCTGCCATACATTTTTAATTACTGATGGACGGCCAATTAAAAAAAAAAAAAAAAAAAAAAAAAAAAAAAAAAAAAAAAAAAAAAACCTCAAAGCTGGTTCAAATAAAATATACATGGTTAATTTTTACTTGAATACTATACATTTGTAATGCCGTTAGATTTGCTTTTAGCCAGATTTATAATCTTTCTTGATGTAAAACACTGGTTTGTTCAGGAAAGTTACCCAAAACGAGGAAAAGGGAAAAGCAATAGCAGAAGATAGAAAAGCATCATACATAACATGCTGTGTAACAACAAGTTGCTGAAATAACTTTATTTTTAAAATACAGAATCATCCTGAAAGTTCACCGTTGACATTCATTCACTAAATTTACTGGCAGTCATTCCTACTCCCCGTCACTCCCTTCCAGTAACTGAATCCTCACTAGTTTGTACTCTGCTTGAAGTAAAAAATAACTGAACCAACCTCATGCCTCAAAAATATGTTAATTCGCTTCTATCTGAGAATGAATAAATCTAATCAGAAAATAAAAGGATGGTAAATATCACGTATATGTAATTACTTAGCATAGAATAATTTTTTTTAAAGGTAATAAGAGGAAAGGGTAGATACCAAAGAATAGTTTTAAGCCCCTGAATTTACTCACCAGTTTCCCAAATGCAGGGTCAGTAACAAGAACATCAGCCTCACCCCTCTACTTTGACTCCGCAGAAGGAAAGGGGAGAAGAGAAAAGCTTTCAAAGGACCCATCGGAATCGCTTTTTCTGTGTGTGCTGCACTAGCTCAATTCTCCCAGCCAGGACTTTTCCTCTCACTTCAGCAGCAGCTGGCTGAGTATAAGAAGGGAGAGTGTGGAACGGCAGTGCACCTCCCAACCAGGTAGGATGCGACTCCCAGCAGAATTGAGCCAGGGAGCCAATCAGGCCGAGAGGATGCTGGCATAAATTACCTTAAAAAGAGCTGAGCCAATCAGTAGCCCAAGGAGGCGGGGTTCTCCTACTAGAAATTGAGCCCAGTAGGGAAAAGGGCTCCGTTTTTCTAAAAGAAAAACAAACCTCTTCTTCGCAGCCGCGGAGAAACATTTGAGTGGCCTTGACAGAATCCCTCCCTAGGGAGAGGCTGCTTTTCTCCTTCCCTTCCGCTCTTTCTCTTGTCTGACTCTATTTCGGGGCCACTGCCTCTTTCCTCTCCCGCGTACAGATTCTGAATCAGTCTTCCAAGAGAGATCCCTGGGAAGCAGGCAGCGCCTAATTGGTTTTCCCCAGGTTCGTGAGGATTCTGTTAATTTGCGTTAATTATCTTGTTAATTTTGTGGGTGGGGCGGTGTCTCCTTTCTCTTTGCAGATCCAGCACCTGGCAGGATGCCCCGCACAAATGAGCACTCAGGAGATGTTGAATATATAATTGAATGAATGAATGAGCAGGCTCCATGCATTCCTGGTTACCACATTTGCTTGTCCCATCCCCCTTCCACCGCCTTAATAGTGAGAGAGGATTTGCAGTCTTCTCCCGCCAGGCACCGAAAGATGACACTAATGAATAATGCCAGGCAAGAACTATGTCATCTTACAAACACGAAAACAAAAGTCTGATTTTATAAAGATTGTTTTAGCTAGAAGAGCCTATAGATGGGCAATCCTAGTTCTCTTCCCCACTCCCCATCTGCGTTTGCATCTGTTAAGCTCCAGCGTTTGGTACCTAACTTCAGAGGCTCTGCTTTGAGTTCCTAGCAGAGCCCGGCAGTTGCCGTGGCAACCAGAAAGCCTCTGTCAGCTGGAACAACTGTACAGGCGAAGACGCTGGAGGTGATGGAAGCAGGCGCTCTGTCTGCCCAGTCATCTTCTGCCTTAAAACGGCTTCCCAAGAACCTGCTTCCGACGGAAGCCTCCTGGGGTTGGAATCTTTAGCTGTTAATCCACTCCACAGAATTGGCCCGATTCTGGTTTGAACTGTAATTTACTACCCAGTTACCTGAGCGTATTTGTCTGCCTCAAACGTTCAAGCCAGAAGTAACAGTGTTTGTGCATGGCGGTAAGGTAACTGTTGCTGCTCTACCTACTGAAATCACTTAAAGAAACTAGATAGGGCACAGGAGGTTACTGATTCATGTTCTTGCCCGAAATAACAAATGATGCAGTGCTAGGCGTTTCTCCCTCTCTTTGATTGATTCTCCATCCTGTTAGTCTCCTCTGGAAATGCGCATTGACCCTCCTTGTTTTTCTTCTCCCACTACACATTAATTAGGCAGTATTATTCTCTTCCACAAAGCATGTTAGTCAAGGTAGCCCATATCAAATAGTTTCGAAAACAATAAAGTTTAATCATAATAGATTTTAGGGTGAATAAATTTACATAAAATGTGATGTCAATATAAATCTGAGGTGTTTTTTTTTTTTTTTCTTTCTCTGCTTCAATTAAGAATGTGCCTTGGATAGCTATTTAACTGTTTCGTTTAATACACACTAATTCACTTATCTGATCAGCCAGAGAACTGGGAATTAATTCATTAGAAGTATGTCGTGAATAACAAATACTTTTCTGATTACCCTTTGCATTTGGCTAACACTAGGTAAGGTTTGTATGCATTCATGGGAATATGACATTTTATAATGTTGCATGCAACAGTAGCTGATAGTCCTTCCATTAATAATTCTTAACAAGGTTTTTACTCTTACATTTTACATATGTAAATGAAAGACACTGGGAACAACTAAAGTAATGAGGAAAGTTGAAGGATATCTCCTTGGGTAGTAAGAATTTGCCTGTTTATTCTCATAAAAGATTTTTTAAAACTGGAGAAAATTTATCTTTTCCTCCAAAACCCATGTTTTTGCAGATTTTATTCTAAAGTATTTTCCAACTTGTTTCATTTATTTCTTTCAAGCACTTTTATTTAACTATTTCTATGTCTCCTCCTTTGATACATATTTTCTATTTTTTATAATATGCGTTTTACAGGAAACGAATCCTATTCTGCAATAATCGTAATTTCCTATGGGTTATTATATGTAAAGGGGATCTGAATCATGTGGAACCTGGAGAAAAGGAATGATGGTCTTAGGTATCACCCATGTGCTGACCCTGACAGTCTGCCTCATTTGATTTGATAAACCAGCTCTGTGTATGGTGAGGAGGAATGTGAGAAAAGATACATACTGTCAGTTCTGAAAAAAGGAAATAAGGTACATGATACTCATCAAACAGTGTCTCACAAGGGCACCTTCATGGACTCATGGGGAAATAAGATCAGGTGTCTTACAGAATTATAGATTAGAATACTAGAAGTTGCTATAGGTAAGGAAGTGAAGAAAACTCTCTATCTTCACATTATGATAGTAGTTTTCAAGTGAAGGCAATTTGACCCCATGGAACTTTTGTCAATGTCTAGAGATATTTCCAGTTTTCACAATCTAGAGGTAAAGGCAGCTGTTAGTATCTAGTAGATCGAGGCTAGTGTTGCTATTGCATGTACTAAAATGCAAAAGAAGGCCCTCCCACAGCAAAGAATTACAGAGCTCAAACTGGCAATAGTAGGAAGGCTGAGTGCCCTGACATATGAGTGAAGAGAATAGTAACCAGACTCTATTACAACTGATGATTTCCTTATGTTGTCATCGATGTCACCACTTTCTTCCTCCTTCTTTTGAACCACAGTCATTATTCATTAGGCATGTATCTAGTTATAATGACTATCAACATAGTGCACAACAGTTATTTCCATCAAAATTTGTTCAGGGATCACCTGAAAATAAAATATTTGGGTTATCTCTTTAAAATTCAGATTCATGGGCTTCACCATTGTATATAATATAATTTTTAGCAAGAAATTCTTGAGATTTTTATGCGTCTGAGTTTGAGGACCAAGATCCTACCATCATCTCACAAAATAACTCCAGTGAGACAGAGACCTGATCATATATGTGAAACCACGATCTTAGTAAAGCAGGGATTCAGTATGATTCCTCTGTCCATTGTTAATTCATTCATTCAAAACTATTTATTAAGAAACTGCGATGTCAGGAACTAGGCCTGGAATTAGAAATACAATGGTGAACAAAACTTATTGGCTTCGTTTATATGTACTTAAAAAAAGAGAATAATAATTCTACTTAGTTTATAGAGTGCTTTAAAGGATTAAGTGAATTAATACATGGAGATCACTTGAAACAGTGCCTGGATAATTAAAATTACTCAAAATGTTAATAATGTTATATCATTGATGATAGGTTTCAAATCTAATTATTCATTACAGTCTCTAGTACAGCACCTGCAACAGAATAGTCAATTTGTAAAATGTACAGTCTATAAGGAAGAAATGAGAGAATTAGGAGACACTATTGTTTTCATTCTACCTTCAACTTTATCTTGAAATTTGCTTTCTCCAGATCAAAGGGACATTTTCAGTTGTGTTCTACCTTTTCTGATACACTTTTCTTCCTATGGCCAAAACTCTATACTTCAGCCAATGCATCAATTTCAGGTTCCTAAACTTATCCTGCAAAATTACCCATTTTTGTCTTGTCACATGCTGTTCCCTAGGAGACCCTTCCCTCCTCACCATCTGCTTAATCCTTCTTCATTCTTTCTGATTAATTTTAAGGTTTTATTTTTTTATATAAAGAAGCCTTTATTGATTGTTCATTGCACTCTAGTCTGTGTTACAGAGTTAATATATATTAACCATATATGCAATAATGGTTAATCATTTTGAGCATTAGCTATGTGTTCCCCGGCATTGCTTTTAGCAGTTCTAGATTATTGGTGCACACTGTTACCTGTCCTGCTAAAGCAAATGCTTTATTTCTGCATCATAGAACATACCACATTTTTAGGAACTGTCTGTATTTCTACCTAAACTTCCAGTTCTGTTTTAAAATTTTATATAGTAAGGATTAATAGTGTTTATCAGATCTGGTATTACATCATGTGTTTAATATTACGTGTGCACATTTAATTAGCGTCTTTCTCTAATTAAATTCTCTCTCTGTAGAATGTAGCTCTATGAAGGTAGGTCTTAAATTTGTTTTCATCACCTCTGCATGCCTTTCAACCAGAGCAGTGGCAAGCAGATAATAGGCAGTCGATAAATATTTGTAGAATTAATACAGATTCAATGTATAATTTACTAAATAAGCAAATGAATAACTTTAAGCTTTTGATATATATTCAAAAGCTATGAATATATAGCTATGAAGCTATGAAGGGAGCTATAAAGGGATCTCTGTTCCTTAGTAGTGGACACAAGTGTTCAGATCCAACTAGACAAATTCCAGATTTTGATGCTTGACTTACTCCTTCCCATGAAACCATGAGGAGCAATTATTTTTTGATTCACAGCTTGTCCAAACAAAAATCAACAAACCCTACCACTTCAATTTATGTAAATATTTTTTATAATCAGATAGAGGTGAGCACAAAGATATTTTAAAATGCTGAAGGCATGTACTGTTTATTGCCAGCCTGTTCAGTCTTCTTAATCCTGTACCTGGACTCTAGAGTGCTGCCAAGACAAAGAGTTCAGACATGTCGGATAGGAATGGATCTACGGCTTCCAACTTACAGGCCATTATTGTTTTAGCCTTTTTGTTTCTGTATTATAATTTCTGAATCTGAACTTTTGTTACTAATTATCTCTACTCTTTCTTATATCTTCCATGCTTGCCTTTTACTTGATTTTCCCACAAACATGTAAACGTGCTCTCATGTCTAATGTTCAAGGATACATATAACCATGTTTTCCTTTCCCCCCCCAGCCATCAATGCCTTTTTAAAACCATCCTTCTCTCTTCACCAGCCATTCACTCATTAAATTCTCTGTTCTAGGTTTTGTCCCTGTGACACTAATGCCTGCATGTTGCTAATCCAGGATAAGTTTCCAATGCACCTGTGTGATTTCTTATCTGCATTTGATCATTCCTTC